AAAAAGACCCAATTCAAGACAAGCATACCAAACTTGGCCCGCATAGTCAATAAGTGCGTCGCCAAAGGTGGACTTTCAAGACATTAATTTAGCTTGCATGCCTGATCGTCTTCCTCTTAAAAAGGAATTGGAGACCGTAGACCTCTAAAATTTAAGCGGCTTTTTGCGCATGTTTGTGACTCTTTTGAGCGCGCGAGAGGCAAACCGAACTGATGTGCATAATCTTTTGAAGCTTCCGCACAAAAAAAGAAAAATTTAAAAAATCAACAAAAATTGGCCTAACAGCACTGTGCGAAATGATAAATTAGAAGAAATCCTTTCTAGCACAGGCTAATCGTATTAAGAAAAGAAAGAATAAGAGTAAAAAAATGAAAGGAAATGGGACAAGAAACTAACAACCGACAATGAAAAAAACTTATCCGGAAAAAGCAGCGAATATAAGCTAAAAAAATATAAAAAGCTTAACTAAATAACGAAATTACTTTATTGCGATTACTCATTATTCCTTTTTTTTTACAGTAACCCAGTGTACACTAATTATAGGCGCTCTCACCGTACTAAACAAGATAGTAAATTTGCTCCAGGACGACTTCCTGTATCACCTTTACTGCTTTCTTAGCCTATTTTATATAAGGTATTTCATCTTTCTAACTTTCTCTAAACCGTCTTTCTCACAAACGATACAACACTTTGATTTCTCCTATAAATTTTCCTAAAACCACACATTTAAGAATCAAAAAAATGTAATAAACGTAGATAGTGAAGCAAATCCTGAAGGGTGACTCTGAGTTGCTAAAACTGGACATAGTATGCAAAAGAAAATATTTTTTAGGAAATATTATCTCTTCAAAACCAACTGAGAGTGAGGTTTTACACTTTAAAAACCTCTCTTGGTTGATTATGAACTGTTCTGAATATGTTTGAACAATCAAATCTTCCGTTTTAACAAATTTTGAAAACTCAAATTATTTACAGGATGATGAAGAGCAGGGTAGTGTACTAAGAAATTTTGCAAATGGCCGTGACATCCATATTTTCATGAAAAACACGACACCTCAGTTTTTTAAGTCTGATTAAAATCTTGAGACTGTATAAAGGCCAAGCATCTTTATACTTACTCTCAAATGGCTTTTATTGCATCTTTGACTATAAAATTACACTTCCTGCCTTAATGCCACCTTATACTACAAACTTTTGCTTCTGGTAGTTTTCACTCAATGTTTTTCAGTGGCGCATTGTAATAAGCACAAAATTGTCAGATCTCCTTTTGAAATCTTTTTTGAGATATGTCATCTCAGTTTAATTGCCATTTGGCTGTGCATATCATTTATCCAGCTCCTGTTCCATGCTGGTTTCTCCTTCTTCTTTATTTGCAGGAACAGAATTGGAGGGACCTTACCCAAATCAGTTGTTAAATGGCCAAAATATGTCCTATACTCAAAAAAACACTCAGAAATGCTAGAAAATTTTCAAAAATGACGTGACCAAATTAGACTCAGCACGATAAAATTCAAACATCTGGCCGTTCAGCCTTATCTGCTCCGAACGGTCGTCCTTTACTGTATGTATAGCTACAACTCTTCCTATCTCCCGTTCTTTCTATGCAAGCCTGTTTCCCTAATATAATATCCCCCGTCTTCAGTATCTCTTTCGTATACTATAATTTCCCCTTTGCAGCCAGATATTTGTTGTAGTCCGTTTTCTTTCTACACCTAACAAATATTCGTGAAGCCAGCAGTCTTCATAGGCATTGCTGGATGCTCTGTTTACCTTTGACAATTTAAAAAACTCTTCTCTTCTCGTGAAAGTAAGCAGTCTATACCATCTAACGTTTTAACCGGTGCTGTACTCGTGAAGAGCTCGGATTGTAAAAAATTAGCTGGTCGAGTCACAGTTGTTGATGGATCGTCATAGACATATGTGTGTTAAAAACAAGCAATTAATTGCTGCTTCTACGCCCTCTAACTTGTATTTTTCTAAAATTATCACATTTGAGGACAAGCTAAATTAGAAGTCCGCAAGGATAGGTATATCGAATTACTAAATGTACAATCAAACTACTCTTAAAGAACTAAACTGATCCGCATTTCAGACCACTTCAATTTGAAAAACAATATTCTATTGTGATCTGCTACTTAAAACGTTGTAATTTACAGGTACTTGTTTGGTTTCTTCCTATCTTCTGTACTGCAGAAGCTGAATAGGAAACTTTTTAATGACATTCAATAATTAAAGAAAAGTAAAGGAAAGGGCTTGTTTTGAAATGAGGGTTTACCTTTAATTCTGGAACTTATTCAAGAGGATTAAATTTCAAGAGTTTTAGGAAAGGCAAGATACATTCTCTAATTGAAAAAAAAAAGGTATAAAATTATAACACAAATATTTGAATTATTGAGAATTTTGATATCTTGGGCTTCACTACGTCCTCAAACTTCTGCGTGTGACTACAGTTTTGGGAATCACACTGTTGTTTTGTTGGATTACTGTGACCTGGCAATAGATCTAGCCATAAAAATATTTAGGAGTGTTTGGTCCTGTCTTTAGAGGACGGAAAGATCTATATTCGGATTCATTTACAGTTTGGTGTGAAAATTTTTACGAGCAGGGAAGTCCTGTCCTGGGGGAGCTCCAACGGTTTTGGCTCAATGCCACTGCGTATTAAAAAAGCAACAGAGTGCTATCCGATTTACTTCCGTAAGTGTCATTAAGTTTTGTTTTAGTTGTGTGCATAATGCATTGTTAATGTCACTTTGTTTGCGGATTTTCAGGCTTCTTGTATTCCAAATTTCTCGTTGTTTGGTCGACTTCCTGCCGGGATATGTCGGAGGATTTTTATTTTCAAATGTTAATTTGTGACTTATTAACTGTTGTAATTTTGTTTGTATCTACAATAATTTCTTGTTCTTTTGTTGTTTTATGGGATAAGTACTGTAGATAATAAATATCTAAAAAAAAAGGGGTTTGCCGAGCAATAGTGTAGGAAAAACGGTTCTAATGAAATAACTAAAAAAACACGACTTCTTAATAAACGAAAAAAGCTTACAGAGTTTTTTTTTCTACAT